CAGCAAGCAAGGCTATTTTGCTCGGAGATGACTGATGACTGCTGCAACAGTTTCCTCTGATTTTAGTTGCTTCCTCTTTCCTTTTCCATCTATGCGAAGTCTCGTAATCCGATTTTTCAATTCCTTTGGCGATTCTTTTCCATGTGGAGCCATGACCTTAGTTTTTAATAGTGACATGCAGTCGCTGGAAGTGCGTGCTTTGGCCCATGCAGGTTCAAATACATGCATACATATCCATAGCACCATGACAGCAGCCTGAGTCCGGATCCAGCCACAGCTTCAGTCATCACAGCCAGGCCGAGCAGCTGCAGCTGTGCTCACAGCCAGCAGCTGTATACTGTCAGAGACTGGCCTTTTAAAATGATCAAATACATCACATAAAATGTCACATCATCTCTCCGTCCTTTAGTAGCTCTCTGCTAACTGTCAGTGTAATAACTGATCTGTATCAACACACCAACTGTTCATATGGATCAGAAGGAACACTAAATGTATCGCTAGGTAGAGCTATGGTATCGTGACTTCGTGGCCCTGATGCACTCTAATGGTGGCCCGTGGCACTTTTAGAAAAAACAGGTTGATACACAGCAATGGAGAGCTTTTTGACTGTAAGAACGTCATTCATTCTGCTGAAGGCTTCCTCAGACTCACCGGTGAAGACAGCAGTGATGTGGACAGCTTTGAGTTAGGACTTCAAAGCAGCTGGTGCCTGTTACTTCCTCTTCTCTCAACTTTTAGCATGTCGCGCCGACACAGCACCTGAGCCTCACCGTGCTAAATGTCCACAAGTCCCTCAGGCCAGAGGTCCTCATGTCAGTGTGGGCTGTAAGCGAGGAGCTCCAGTTCTTGCAGCCATTCTGTATTTCAAAGTTTCTCTCACATTTCGAAATCCTGCATTGATTTTTTAAAATCTTTTGATTATCCTGCAGGGGTGCTTTCTTAAAAGACTTCTCTGTGTGGGTTTGAAAAACAGGTTTTGTGCAGGGACATGGTGTAGAGACTCATATTTAATAATAACAAATTTTATGTCATGGCACCTCACAAAACCCAAGGACGCCTCACAGTACAGTGGGGTATGAAGAAATACCACACATAAATTAAACAGCACAAGTTATAATCAAAGTGACCTGGCTGGAGCTACATGATCCCAGCACACAGAGTCCAGCCGACTATTGTGGTGGTGAGTCGGTGCCGCTGAAGGCTTCGGCACACATGCAGTGAGTTTAAAAGCGGCGACACACAGCAGAGTAGCGGAGAATGGGGTTTTCTGAGGATAGCGAAGGTGTGAAAGGTATGGAGGAGCCAGATTACCGAAGGCTTTGAATAGAAGCAGCAGAATATTGCAATGAATCTGTTGATGAACAGGGAGTCAGCGGGGCTGCGATGTGTGATATGGTCGGTGGACTTGGTGGGGGTGAGAGTTCTGAATGATTTTGGAGCCAGTGGAGAAGTTTAATGGGAATAGCAGTGAGGACAGTGTTACAGGATTCAATGCGAGATGTGACCGGGCTGTGAATAAGGACTTGAGTGCAGTTTTCATAGAGGCAAGGCTGGAAATATTGTGTGCAGGAGGTGAACAGAAGCAGTACGTGACGTATTATTGATGTAGGCGCTAAAGGAAAGTTCACTTTTCTTATGTCTGGTTGGAGCGTAAAATGACAAAGAAAGAGTTATGGTAGATTAGTTTTCCTTAATATTTTTCTTTGACCTTGACAGAGAACATCTTGAGGTCAAGGAATGATGAGGAGGCTTAATGAGGTAGCTTTAACTATGTGACTTGGAAAAATGATGGCTTTACATCACATGTTGGAGCTTGCTTTTCAAACATATCATGCCACTGTTACCTTTTTCCACCTTTGACAACCACCACGTCAGACTAAATGTTTAGTCAGTTTCAGCCACAACACTCGCATGAACAAAGTGCTCCTTCTGCGCAAACTCCTCCCTGATGGGCTTTTAATATTTCAACAATCTTATCCAGCGCAGCAGCTGCCATTCCTTCTGCTAACACTATTCATAATATCCAATGAGAAACCTGAGATATCTATAACTATTATTTGGACCGGATCCAACTGAATTCCAGGTATCTCTAACTATCTCCACCTGATGTTACAGATACCTGGAACAAAAACTCTGACTAGCCACAGTTAGTCTGATATCTGTAACTTTGTTACAGCTATTAAATGCAAAATGGCAGTGCAATAGGTATGCGACAGTGGATGCTGTTGACGTGGATCTCATGTGAATGGTGCATCGATTTGAATGCTGCAAAGGATTGTGGGGTGGCATTATCTCCTTTCCTTTTGTAACGGACCGTCCAGTGCATCCAATGCATCCTGATGGAGATGAGAAAAGAACCCACAGGAGTGTTCATTCAAGCAGAAACCTACAGATTTGTCAGGTTAGGATCATGCACAGAATCTGGTGCGAAGTAAAAAGCAACTGTAGCAATATTAATTAGATAGTCGCTTATTTCAGCTCTAAGCAAAGTATTTTTTCACTTCTGTTTTGGCTACAGTGGTAATAATGTTTTTTAAAAAGTGCAGAAAAATAAAGACAACTATATCTCAAAGCATCATAATTAAATTTGCGATATATATTCATATCTTGCCTTTTCTGCATTTTTACACACCCAATTAGGTGCATTGTACCTTCTCACCTCGCTGCCCACAGTCTGAGAGCCACTGAGAAGCATTTTGAAGGGACTGTTATTAACCTCTAACCTGGAATCAAGCCTCAGGTCATCCGGCAACACTGACAGAACACAACTGTGCTGACCTCTGACCTTCCGTCTGAGTCTTAATTGTTTCAGGTGGCAAAAACAGAAGCCAGAGGTTGGGAGAAGTTAAGACTGATCATTAGTATTTAATAAGAGCCTTTCATTAAAATGAGTAATATTAATACAGTCACAGGAATAGTAGCAAAATGTAGAAAAAAGTTTTATCATTTAATAATCAGCAGTAATCATTATCTCCTGAAATAAGAATCTGTCTTGATGAAGATTTAAGCTTTTTTGCCATAAAACGCCGGATTCTCCTCGCTGCTCCTTCAGTTGATCCTGGAGAAGCTCGGAGGTTTTCCTCAAGGGGAAACTGCTACGATGCTTTTCAACTCCGGTCCCTGGACAGGTTGTTAGAGCAGCAGTGCATAATTGCAGCCTGGTTTGAGTATGAAACCTCCTCTCCACCATGCTCCACCAGCTTCGCTTCTACTGTGCATCTCTGACATAAGAAGAAAAAAAAAAAAAAAAGAAAAAAAAAAAAAAAAATTAGAGCTTTTCGTAGAAACGCTGACAGCGTGTGTGTGTTTCTTGGAATTATATCTGGATGATGATGATGGTAAGCAAGCTGATGTTGTGTTTATGTTGTTAGAACAGATGACCACAAGGTTCACGCTTGATGATATCACTTATGTTCTCACTTTATTTAACCTTTTGAACCTTATGTAGTTTCTAGATGTTTTTAGCTCCGTGTTTTGAACCTCTGTGCAACCAACACAAGCATGGCTACAAGTAGAAAGAACTCAGAATGAAAAAGACAAAAAGAACGTTGCATTTCATTCATTGCATGTCATGTAATTGCAATGAAATTAAATCAAGCTCATTTTTGGAACCATGTGTCACACATTATACATCCACAGACTGCATAAAGTCCAAAATCGTATGATTCTTTCTGTTTCTTTCTCTGACTCATGGTTTCATTCAGGGGCTCTTCTGTTATAAAACATGCATTTCAACCCTGCTGGCGGGTTTTGTGGGTTCAGAGGGTTAAACAGTTTCCTAATTGTTTGATTCTCTCCACAGAGTAAAGCAAAAAAAAAAAAATGTCATTATTAGATAAGCCCATCTCTGAGGTCTTTGGGTGATTCAGTAGATAACTGATCCTGCTGGCTTCTGAGTCAAAGCTAATGACTGTTAATTATGTCTGTCAGACAGCTGGCAGTCATAGATTCATGTTTTGTGTTTGGCATCCGTCTTCTCCTGGTCTCGCCTTAATAAAGAATCGTTTCTAGAAATATGGTATGCAGCAAGACTTGAAGCTTCACAGCAACCAGACCCCTACAGGAGTGACCTACATTCTACATCTGTACGTCTGCTTCATACTGTCTGTTTATTGCTGGTGACTGCACTTGCTGCGGCTGAATCTGAGTGTCAGAAAACTTGGAAATTTTCGTACGCAGATGTGAATGATCCACTACTTTCTGCAATGCGTTGGCTGTAATCTCAGATGTGCTTTCCTGGTCACCTTTCTCCAGCTCATATGTCAGAATGCAGGTCACAGCTTATAGTATCTCCAGGCCAACAGGGAGAGTAATAAGGACTCTAACTGTCCACCAAACTGGTAAAAGCAACGTGAAACACAAGCAACGCCCCTGTGAATGAACTGATAGCATTGCAGCCTTGGAGTTCTAAAAACGAAACATCAGTGCAACCCTTTGAACATGCAACTAGAATGCAGCTGACACCAGTGAACAGCATGTCTTATATGTTCATTCTTTCAAGTCGGCCTGTATGACTCCAGGCTAACAGTTGGGGCTCCGACACAACAGGCGGATTTCAAAGGAGTCTCCCAATGACTGATGGCTGCACTGATCATCTCAACTTGTTTGAAGAGTTTTATGCAAATTCCCTGACAAGAAATACTACCATAAATAAAATAAGATTGACATCAACGTCTAATAAAACTACGAGCGATCGCTGCATCACTTTAATGGACCAGATGGGACTTGTTGTTCACCAACTGTCCAGGCAACGCAATTTATTTGCAGATTTCTAAAAGTTGCATTCACACTAAAGTGTAAGTTTCCTTGTGTAAAAAAACAAAACAACAGCCAGCGTTCAGTCCCCAGTCGGGTTGTTATGAGCAGCAGTGGCAGCGAGAGGAGCAGATAATGATTTCACATGTAATAACCCCTGGCTGCAGGTCAACACTTAATGGTTTAGCAGTTGTGATGTATGTGAAGCTCTCTGGCTGATGTCCCACTACTGTGTGTTTCTACAGGATGAGGGCTGCGCTGCTGCTGCTGCTCTTAGTCACTCTCATCACCATCCAGACTGTAGCTGGAGGGAAAAACAAGAAAGGTAAGACTCTGCCTTATTGTGCCTCTCCTTTCTCTGTCACTCTATTTGTCTTGTTGTAATATAATATGGGTTACTGTAATCTAAATGTGTTACAGTTGTTGACCACACCTGAATAAAACTGCCCCTTACCATATGACTGAACCTGTGTAGCTGTCAGAAACAATCATTTCAATGTAATTATCCATGCATCCATTATCTATACACCGCTTAATCCTCACTAGGGTCACAGGGGGGCTGGAGTCTATCCCAGCTGACTTAGGGCAAAGACAGGGGACACCCTGGACAGGTCACCAGTCTATCACAGGGCCACACTTAGAGACAGACAACCAAGCACACTCACATTCACACCTACGGACAATTTAGAATCACCAATTAACCTCAACATGTTTTTGGACTGTGTGGGAGGAAGCCGGAGAACCCGGAGAGAACCCACGCTGCACAGGGAGAACATGCAAACTCCATGCAGAAAGATTCTGGTGCCCCCACCAGGACGCAAACCGGCGACCTTCTTGCTGCGAGGCAACAGTGCTACCAACTGTGCCACCTTGCAGCCCAGTCAATATAATTATATACAATAGTAATATCATAATATTCATGTTTTCTTCCACTGTACGTACATTTAATAGGAACTGCTAAGTATTGTTTATTCATTCATTCAACAACAGGTTCTATTTGAAAGTGTCACCAACCATTATTCAAAATAGTGTACTCGGCATTTCATTTCATCTCCACATGAACAATTCATGGAGTTCTTTCAATCCTGTGATGTATTCATTCGGTTTTATTTATTAATACAGCCCCGATTCACAGCATGATTCATCCCAGTGGACTTTACACAAGGTCAAGACCTTACAGTATTATAAAGACACAGTTGTGTCTGAGCAGCACAACAGTGGGAGGATGAACCCATGCAAGCAATATGACAATAAACACCGGACAGGTTGGTGACCAGATCCACAGATAGCTGCAGAGAGGTTCAGAGATTGAAGACAAGCTACTGCAGAGGGAAGACTCAAAGTTAAAGACATGTTCTGGAAGCATATAAATACATGGAGAATTAAAGAGAGCAGAGGTATGGAAGAGGGAGCGTTGCTCAGTGCATGTAAGAAGTCCCCCAGCAGACTGAGACTATAGCTGCATAACTAAGGAATGTTCAGGGTCACCTGAGCCAACCTTAACTATGAGCTCTATCAAAGAGGAAAGTTTTAAGCTTAATCTTAAAAGTAGAGAGGGTGTCTGCCTCCAAACTGGGAGCCGGTCCCACAGGAGAGGAGCCTGACAGCTAAAGCCTCCTGTTCTGGTACGAGGAGGAAGTCTGAGAGTGAAGCGCTCTGTTGGGATAATGTGGTGCGATGAGGTCTTTAAGATGCGACGGATCGTCCTCATTAAGGGCTTTACTCGTAAAAAGGGGTTTTCATTCTATTCTTGACTTTACTGAAGAGTCATTGAAGAGAATATAGTGGAAAGAAAAAAACATCTTTCTTGCTTAGTTCCCGTCAGCGTTCTTTAGTCGTCCTGATAATAAGGAATACAACAGCTCAGCCTTGAAGTAACAAAACATCAACACTGGGGGTTGGTCTGTATGTTTTCTTACAATATGACAGTATATAGGAATCAGAGGTGTAGTGATGAATAGATGAACAAAAGCTGGGATTCACATGAACACTAACTTTCATCCTGGTGTAAGTCAGTCCATCTGTTTTGTCCGTGTTTGACCGAAGTCACCAGCAGACTGAAGTGAGCGGTTCGCTCTACCCCCAGTAGGACTGTCATTGATTTTTGTGGACTGCATGTTGGAAGTGTGCATGTCTGAAATAACAAGTTAATAAATCTTTATCTCTGTCCTCAGAGAAAAACAAACCCGCAGATTCCGGGTCAGAATGCTCCGACTGGCGCTATGGCAACTGTGTCCCTAGCAACGGGGACTGTGGAGCAGGGTTTAGAGAGGGGTCATGTGACCAGCAGACCAAGAAGATGAAATGTAAAGTGCCTTGCAACTGGAAAAAGGACTTTGGAGGTAACACACACACACATACAGCCATGTCTCCACCTCTTGATGGCAGTCATTTCACCATAAGCTCCACTTGGCTAAAGCTAACCTTATCCTAACCTTCCTAAACTTAGACTGACTCTTTGCCTTAAAATTCTTTTTTTTTTTTTACTTATTTGGATTTATACTTGTCCCAGGAAGAAAGTTGATTCCTTAAATGAAAGCGACATCCCTCTGGTATGAACACAAGAACACACAGCTCACATTTACATACTTTATGGTTGGACACAGCACAGGAGGAAAGTGGTACATTTCAAATAATATGCAACTGGTGCATTGAATAAAACTTTCATGTCCTAAACCTTCACTGGACCGAAAGAGTCCATCAAATGATCATCCAGATGCAGTGGAAACATCACCCAGAAAAATAAAGGTGCTAACTGGAAGTAAAAGAAGTCGAAAAACCTTTTTTTAGTTACACAAAGAACCTTTTAGAAAGAGGTTCATCAAAGAACCTCCAGAGGTGCCTTCAAAAAATGATTCCTTTAGTATGGTGCTCCAAAGAACTTGAGCAAAAAAATGGTTCTCTAAGGATCTATTTTAAGATGTTTGTGGACCCACCTGGTTCTATTTTGATATAAGAACTTGTTTAGGTCATTTTTAAGCCAAAAAAAATAAATTCTCAGCATTTCTGGGTCTCTTCCATGAGAAGCCATTGAATATTTTGGGTTCTGGACTGTTTGGTCAGACAGAACAGCATGTTGCCAGATGCCAGCTTGAAATTTGTGTTGACCAAACGACTAATGGAATAATTGAGAAAATAATCTGCAGATTAATCAGATAGTTTTAGCTGCAGCACTAATTTAATGCTATTACCTAACAGCATACCAAATAATTCCAAAAAATAAAAAATAAAAAAAATTGAAGAAATATTGGACAGCATGTACAGAACCATCCCCTAAATACAGAAGTTCTTCAAGTGGTGGAAAATCGTTTCGGAACAGGCATCTTTCATAGAATACCATTTGATGATGGTTGCATTCAAGGTGCTTCATAAATTTGATGGAGGAAATTGAATCAGCGGTGGCTCCGGCTGGGACTGTTACAAAAGTCACGGTGAATGATCAGAACATGATGTGATTTATTACATATTTATAACAATTTAAAATCAGAGCAGTACGCATTATCGGACTGCGTTCATTCAACACATGAGCTAATACATTATTTATGAATATTCATGCACAGAGCCACATCATATAGTTGGTCACACTGTCACTCACAGTAGGGGCTTATCATTGTGTAATCAGCTAATTATTCAGAAGAGCTCTCGAAATTTCCCCTCATTTCACACTTTCAGCAGCTTATGTAACATGAAAATAAGCTAGTTGAGCAAACCGAAAACTAGTTCATGTCGAACGCATCCGAACCAAAGATGGTCTGTTTTATTAGTCTACTTCGGTTCAGTTATGGTGGATGCACCATTTACTGGAAGTCAGTTTGAATGAGAGAGATCAAGATTAGTGAGATGTTGAGGTCAGAGAGGAAAACATTTAATCAACTCAATCAAAGTTGAGAAGAAAGTCGAGAAGAAATTAATTCATGGATCAAAATGTGAATAGCTGATGAAACCCTGTCTTACAGCAAACCTAATATGAGACTCAAAGGAAAAGGCCCTCTAGCATTCTGAAAGAAAACACAACAGTCAACATTCAGAATGAAGCTTTGAATACAAGTTGGTATGTTTCTGGTGAAAATATGCTTTTCAATTTCATCTGTTTACCACTGAAAAAAAACCAAAGATATCTTCTGGACTGACAGACGTTCATATCCTGTAGTACTGATGATGTTTCTCGTTACAACGGATTACTTCGTTAAGAAAGTTCTTTGTGGATCCACCTGCTTTTATTTTGATGAGAGAACTTCCATCCATCCATTATCTATACACCGCTTAATCCTCATTAGTGGGGGGGCTGGAGTCTATCCCAGTCGACTTAGGGTGAAGGCGATGAGAGAACTTGATCATCATTTAGGTGTTTTTTCTTGCCATAAGTTAGATTACTGCAGTAGTTGAATAGTTCTACTGTATTATATAAGATAGGATCTGTGCTGAACTAAACCTTTGATAATATTGTAAATGTGTTTATGTTTTATCAGTCAGGCACCAATGGAGTTACAGGTCCTCATACAGCCAATCAAGATCCAATGAAAACTGTACATGTTGAGTTATCTTGGGTTTGTCTGTCTCTTTTCCCCCCTCTCTCTCCAGCTGACTGCAAGTATCGGTTTGGGAGCTGGGGAGAGTGTGATCCGACCTCCGGCTCGCGGACCAGAACAGGGACACTGAAGAGGGCTCTTTATAACGTGCAATGTCAACAAACTATTTCTGTCTCCAAACCTTGCCCTGGAATAACCAAGACAAAAACCAAAGGTTAGACTGCTGGATGCTTTGCCATCTCAGTGTAGAGGACCAAACTGATGCATGTTGACCTTTAGCAGCCATGTTCACCATTTGGCCATGTTTCAATTCAACCTTGATAGTGCTAGAAGTCAAAGGTTCCCTAAAGTTGTCCAATTCGTCCTGATTGGATCAAATGTCATGACAATCCATCTGACTGATGTTGAGACATTTCACTACAAACCATCAACCTCAAGGTGATTCCTAAAGAAAAGTGAGTCGGACACATCATCCGTGTGCCAAATGTCACTTCACAGAGTAGATTTCGATCTATTTCACAGGACAAGTGAAATTGTTTGACCTACTGGTGGCACAAAAGTCATTTAGATTCACCTGCACTCTATGAAATCAGAATTTTATGGTGATCAATTTAATTTCTACAAATGTCAGCCTCATGGTAGTGCCAGATGAAATGTCAGTGGATCACCACAGGTATTGGGACTCATCCTTAAAGATCATTAACGTATGGAGAGATTTTCATGGTAATCCTTTGTTGTTGTTGAGATATTGGACCAAACTAGTGGACGGACCGAGTGCCAGAATTTTCTTATTTGTTATCTGGGACTCACATTGTCACCTTTAGGTTCCTGCTGCTATTGTAGCAAAAAATCTATTAATCCAGGGTGAGTTTACTCATTTTAAAAATACAGCCTTTGGTCACCGTTTTAAAATTTTGCACTTTTTTCCATTTTCAAGGGACAGTAATTAAAAAATGTGGCCTCTTATGGAGCCCTTCACTCATTTGGACCTGCTAGAAGCAATTCGTTTTCATATTTCGTGGCTGTGGGAGTTATATTTATGCAGATATTGACCCTTAAAAAGATGTCTTGTGAGGGTGAAATTACACAAACGCTCAGGTCTGAAAACATGAAATTCTCAAAATTCATCCAAAATATTTTACAGAACTTAGTTTTGGGTCCCAAATAACCAGTAAGTAAACTCTGACCTAATGGCGACATGGTGCAGCAGCGTATTTGCCAAATTCTGCCTGGTTTGACAGGAACTGACCCGGTCTCTAGCCAGTTAAAATAGACTTTTTGCTGAGGTGACAATGTTGGCTCAGGAAAGCGAGATATCTTAAAAATAACTGTCCAGATTGATATGAAATGTGCCCTGGATATTCACTGTCCTCAGAAGGAGATTTTTTTTTTGTAATAAAACCTTGACCTCTGATTTGTACAAGTCCACAGGAATTTTTTTTTCACAATTCAAAGCTAAGTTCTGCCAATAATAAGATAAGAATTTGACTGTAACCTAAAGGCAACTATTTAAAAAGACAACCTTCACCGTGTTCCGTCCAGCACATTTATGGTGTGAGTTATAACACACATTCCTCCCTGCTGAGCCTGCAAACACTTTAATCTGGTCATCTTTATTGCTTTGGAGTGCCTTTAGATTCTTCACTGTACCTCTCTGAGTTCCGTCTCAGCTGCCTTTTTATTTTCAACTCTCCCTCACACGTCTGAAGATAATATTTTTCATGTACGGACATGCATTTTATGAATGAGTATTATTTATGTCTTTTCCAGGAAAGAAGAGAAAAGGGAAGGGGAACTAGGACCAGGCTGGAGGGACGAGTCTCCGGAGAGTCTTCAGAGTAACGAAGAAGCAAACATAAACTGTCTGAACCAGCGGGACAGTTGAACCAACACAAGTAGTCATAGCTTATTTCCATGCACACATTTCTGAGTGTTCTCCGGGTTACCTAAATCATGGCAAAACATATTTTTAAAACACATATGAGAAGTCTGAATATACACTAAATCTGTAGATACGGTGAAAATGAACGCAACATTACAATGATTTTGGAAAATTTGTGTTATAAATCTGCCTCTATGTTATAAAGTGTTATCAATATAAAAATTTTATTTTCCAATGTGTGACTCATGCCTATAAACATTTCATAGAGTGGATACATGTGGATGTGTCAGTAACATCTATGCACAACCATTCAAGAAGGCTTCTCTTTCTTTTCTTTTTCAATTATTCTAACCACTATAGTTGCTTGTGGATTTATTTTAAATATTGTAGAAATCATCTTCTCTCAATTTGATTCATTCTCCCTTCTTTCTCCCGCTTTAGAATAAACTTTATTATTTTGTCCTGTAGAAGGACTGATGCTTTCCTTTTGTTTATTAAAGAACATACCGTCACTTTTTTTATTTTTATTTTATTGGTTTCTAGACATGTAGGCACTGAAATGTGAGAAAACAAATAAAGAAAACATAAAGACAAACATCTGTGGATTTGTGTGCTCGTCATTCTCTCAGTCTTGAAGGAGTTTCCACGTATGCTGAGCACTCGTTGGCTGGTTTTTCTTCACTCCAACTCATCGAAAACCATCACAGCTGGGTTTAGGCCAGCGACTGTAGAGGTTAGATCATCCGTCACTCTGCTTCTGGGTCAAATAGGCCCTACAGGATCTAAATGTTGAGTCACCACAGGATGCTTCAAGGCTTGGTCCAAGCAAGACAACACTGGTTTCTAGACATCTGAGCACTTTACTGTATATTCTCTGTTATTTCTCTCTAAACTGGTTTTATTTACAATAATGAAAGGCCTGCACTTATATAGCCCTTTACCTTGGTGGTATAGTGACCCATTCATACAACAGCTGTCATGCAATCTGCAAATGCACGCCGGTCTTTAGGAGCCACTTTAGGTTTAATGTCTTACCATAAGAGAGGCCACTGATTGAACCAAGTTACTGCAAATGCTCATCAAAGACTAAATCTCTGTCGTGTTCCATTTGCTAAATTCCCCAGTGAGGTGAGCTAAACTGTTTCTAACAATCTGTAGGTGTTTCTTTTATATAATTTTACTTCATCTACGTCGGCTTAAATTGCCTCCAATTTGTCAACTTTATTAGGAAGCACCTGTGTTGATGTGATTCCAACAATTATGCTGATTGGACTGAGCGTGTTTCGTAGATTTTACTGTGATTAACCTCTCTATGAGGGGCATCTGCATACACATGATCAGTGGTGCTGCTAAATGTATGCACACACACACATTTACGCACGAGATAATGTTGATGAACAGTGTGGAAACATTCGCAATGAGGTGCTCTTATAACCTGTTATGTTCAGTAAATGGCTCCCTGGAGTCAAAATACTACTGTTGTGTCTCTAAAAACACATTTTTTAAAATCATGTGCAGATCACAAGCAGGGTCTTATTAATTGGAATGTAAATGAAGATTTTTTTTTTTTTTTTTAAAGACATACAATGATGTTCTGTTCACAGCATACTATATACTATAGCAGGGGTGCTCAATGAAAAGTCACTGAGGTCCAGTTATTAAAATTTCCTCCAAGTAAAAGGTCCAAACCGAAGTCCAGTTTGTGTCGTATAGCCACATTTTCATGGTTTCAACAATACTTACCGTCAATTTTCAGCGCAGGATGTGTTTAACTGAGTGCACAGTTAGCTCTTTTACCCTATAAGTAGTCCCAAGCAAAAAAATAAAAAGTAAAAAATGAGGCCTTTATTTCAGATTAGAGAAAAAAAGAAAGAAATAAAATACATTTAAAAAAGTGCAAACAGAGGCAAACAACCCTTTTATCTCTTGAATTAAAGAGGTCCCAGCCTAAAGAACTGAAGGCCTCCACTTCAAGTAAAAAAGTCCTCAGAAAACAATCAATAAAAGGTTCTGGTTGCACGTTGCTGAGCTGTAAATGTGCTGATGAGTTGACCTGTCATACAGGGCTTGCAAGTCGGTTATTTTGCCCTCTGCTTGGACTTCAGGGGTTAACTTTGCTCAAAAGAGCTGGGCTTTGTTTCGTAGTGGCACTTCACGGTGCTACTTTTAATTAATGCCACGTTTTCAGAGCATATGAGGCACACTGGTTGTAAACTGCCTGAGGGAATAATGAACATACATTTCTCCGTCCACTCATCTTCAAAGCAGTGGTTTTCCTCATCAGCCTTCTGGAGCTAGCCATGCTGTCATCACTGTCTCTTCCTCTCTGTATAGGCAGCGCAAAGTGGCAGCGAGCTGTGGCGGTGCGCTGGCCATGCAGGGTAACCAACTGATTTGATTGGCTCAACTGAGTGGTATTACTGTATGAACTGGAGTAGCGAGTACCGAGGTCCGCCATTTGGTCTGGTATAGTATGTCGTCAAAAAAATGTTATAGTATACAACTTTGGGGAAAAAGTGTCATAATATTGTATGTCGTAAAAGAGGGGGAAGAGGATAAACACCTGATTTCTACCTGCTCAGGGTTCATTTCTTCTTGCACCTCTGTGAGAACAACACGACCAGGACGAGAAGCAGGAGAACTATAACTCATGATTATAGTATTACAGTAATAATGTTATAAATCATAAGAAAGGTCAGTTGAATTTCTTTGATTATTTACTTTACAAATTAAAAATAAAAACATTTATCCAATTGCCCACAAGTTGGAGGGAAAAATAAAAAGATGTATAAAATGGTGACCTTACATAGAAGAAATATTTAACCTCAGACTCTGGCCTGCATACATGTTGTCAAAAAACACCACAGTACACTATGTCGTCGAAAAAAATATCATTGTATAGCATGTGGTCAAAAAAAGGCTGTTGTATACTATGTCGGAAAAAAACGTTAGAGTATACGTCGTTGAAAAAACATCACAGTAAAGTATCTCTTCAACAAATGTCATAGTTTAACTATGTCATCCAAAAACATAATCAGCATGTCAGCGAAAAATAACGTCATATTTTGAAAGTTATAGTCAAGAATGTTGTGAAAAACGTCACAATTCAATATGTCATCGCAAAACGATCGTAGTTTTCGTCGAAAATGAACTACATACCGTTGTTTATGATTTTTGACATACTATCACATTTTAACAATGACGTGCTGTAGCATTGATGCTTTTCTGACGACATGCTATGATTTGCTTTTTTTTAAAATACATTCCATAGAATTACGTTTGTTCACAACAAATTATACTGTGACTTTTTAAATAAAATATACTATAGTATGATTTGCTTTTGACAAAATACTATTCTGTAAGATTTTTTCAAAAACAGACTTTAAATGACGACAGGATGGCATTTCAGGATTTATTATACTTCTAGGTCTTTGTGGTGACATATGATACTATAGTATGACTTTGACAACATTATACAATGACATTTTTTTGACGACACACGACAGTATGACGTTGTTTTAACTACATACTATGACATTTTTTTGAGTCCACAATATACGATTATGTTTATTATTGTGATTGTGTTTTTGCAACATCCTGTGGCGTAATTATAATTAATTGACATTGTGTAGTAAAAGACTTTCTTACAACTATTCTAACATGTTTTATTCTGTTAGCTCCTGTCAATAAAAAACACAAAAAAAAGTAATTAAGATTTAATGTTGGAAAAATATGAAAGGGAAAATTTCCAGGGGGGTGAGTGCTCCTCATAGCGCTGTAGTAGTAGCACAGCAACACTTGCATTGTGTTGGTGGCATTACAGAACATACAATTGTTCATTTTTATTTAAAACTGACCATTTTCTCGATAAATTGTAATTTGATGTCGGCTTAATGTAGCCTTCATTGTAAAGCTGCTACTTTACACACACACACACACATTCAGTGAGCCCAGCCCTGTTTCTTTCATATACACACCTCGTGTGTCACTCTGGCTTTGATGTAGGTGAGAGAAGAAAGGCTTTATCAATAAATAAACAGCTTCCCTCAGCAATGATTCATTTCTTCTGTCTTCATTCCATTCACAGATTCAGATTTGGGGGAGTTTCCTAACATGTAGCTATGGATTTTTTGTTTTAGATTTATCTGATAATGATCCATCCAAATCACACAAAAGCAGCTTTAATTGTTGTATTTTATATCCTTTTTCTGTAGCCTTTGTTTCTAATAATTATGCGTTTATTCTGTTCTTATCTGACATTTCATAGATCTGAGGCTGGAAGATTTTTCACTCTTACCTGGATGGATTTTTCTGGTTTGACTGAACACGTATAGAATCTAAACAGTGTAATACAACATAAAGAATTCTGCACAGGTGCACTCCAATCATTCTGACTTTTTCCATCGCCACTCTGCACTAAACATCACACCCTACCACGACAATCAACACCTGCCTTCTTATCTCAGCAAACAGAAACCAAAGCAAATTTGTAAATTATTGCAGCTACCCACTGCTTTTGAAAAATCCACCTGAAAAAAAAAAAAATTAATCAGAATTTAATCAGTAACAGCTGCAAAACTGTAAGGTCAAAATGAACAAACCTTGGGCTCTGTGGATAAGAGATGCTCAGGAGAATTAAAAAAAACAGTTTCCTTATCGTCATGACAGAGTGGGATTTAAAAAAAACTGCAACAAAAAGTGAGATTTTTTCTGCTGCCTAATCAGAACAGAAGTTAGAGTAAATAACGGACACGGAAACTGTGTTCAAAAAATCCCCAACGACAACTTTACTAAATTTAATGCAACAGAAATGACACTAAAAAATACACCGTGGTGGTACTTGGTGGCTTTTTTATTTTAGGGTAGTTTAAGTTTTCAAAAATCCTCCAGATATTTAACCATGCAAATATGTTACAGATTAAATATAGCGCCTTTGCAATACTTACATGAATGTGCAACAGCAACCTTCACCAAGGACAGAGAAGTGATAGATTGCATGCTTGTTAAAGCCGCCAATGCTGCTAAATTGAATCCTTTCCCCCAGGGGGCCCTAATGACAGCAGCACTTTGCCCACCTCCTGTAGTATCTGTTGTATCGCTCTTCACTTCAACAGAAGACTGTTAGGAAGTAGAATAACAGGTTTGACCTCTGCTTCTGTTACTTTGCTGTCGACACAGAGATAGTGTTTGACTTGGTTGTCGCAAAACAACACGCAGTCTTCAACTTCCAGGCTGGAGTGCATCATCTATTCATCATCTATACACCGCTTAATCCTCACTAGGGCTGCGGGGGGCTGGAGTCTATCCCAGACAACTTAGGGCGAAGGCAGGGGACACCGGGGACAGGTTGGCTACACTTAGAGACAGACAACCAAGCACACTCACATTCACACCTACGGACAATTTAGAATCACCAATTAACCTCAGCATGTTTTTGGACTGTGTGGGAGGAAGCCAGAGAACCCGGAGAGAACCCACGCTGTACGGGGAGAACATTCAAACTCCACGCAGAAAGATTCTGGTGCCCCCACTGGGACGCGAACCGGCAACCTTCTTGCTGCGAGACAA